ATGGCTCCCAGCCCCTCTCCAAGGGTTGCAGCTGTCTGGAGGTGCTGCCTTCCATGCCTTCCTCATTCACAGCTCATTCATTCAACAGGGCAATTGATTACAAAGTGAGGGGGAAGATCTTATTCTACCTCTAGCAAAAAGACATTTTCGTTTACCTTAATTATGCTACCTTAGGGGCCCGCTATAACTTATTACCATGGTTCAATACCACTGTTTCAGTGGGGCGGCGCTGGGGAAGGAGGGTTTTTTCCATGGGGTGGGCATTGCTGGGGGGGTTGTTTCTGAGGGGCTGGGTTGGGTGTTTTGGGGGGGCTGAGTGGCGATGGGGAGCTGTTTACGGGCCCACCTGCTGGGTTTTGGCCCTCAGCTGTTTTATTTGGAGTAATATGGCCCTTGCTGCTTTACGAGTTTTGCAGGCCTGAGTTAAACCATCCCCACCCCTCCAGCTTTCAAAGAGGCATAAATCCAGCATTGTCCTGTCTGTGGTGTCTCTCAGCTGAACACACAATCCCTGCTCACCTCTCTCCTTGGGAATAGCTCCAGCCATGGGGAGGGCTCTGGGCTCTGCAGGTTTAGAAAGAGGCAGGGGTTTAAGTGCAGAGCTGTGTGTGAGGCCTTGTCTTCACTTACCGGAGAGTCCGGTGGCACGCCATCGATGTTCTGGGATCGATTTATCGCGTCTGGTTAAGACGCGATAAATCGATCCCGGAAGTGCTCACAGTCGGCGCCGGTACTCCAGCTCGCCGAGAGGAGTACGCGGCATCGACGGGGGGAGACTTCCTGCCGCGTCTGGACCGCAGTAAGTTCGGACTAAGGTACTTCGAATTCAGCTACGTTATTAACGTAGCTGAATTTGCGTACCTTAGTCCGAAGTGGGGACTTAGTGGGGACCAGGCCTGAGTCAGCAAGGCCCCCAGGGCTCAGAGATCCTGGGAACACCTAGTGAGGGTGTAGTAATAATTCAACTCACCTCCCCAGACAACTTCCTTAGCATAAGGGGGCTCAGTGACCATGTTCCCATCCTCTTGGATTCCACGTTCCTCCAGCAGAGCACAGGGAAACGTTCCACTCATGGAATGTCCTTGGTGACAAATACTCCACCAATGCTCCATGCACCGTGATCTGGTCTGATTTCACCCTCTGCACAGGATTTCCCATTCCCAGACCTGAGCTGATCACCCGGCTGGAACGAGGGGAAGAGCCCTGGGTGCTGGATCTCTGGGCCTGTGAGGAAAGAAAGGTTCCAAAATGTACCAGCACAGGTGAGGACTGACATACAAACCATCTGGGGAACGAAGGAAAAAGTTGAGAATCCCAAAATATGGTGTGAGTAATGCCCTCAGTTCTTCCTCATCTCACCCAGAGCAGGGCAGTGGTCAGCAGATATCGCTCACGCCATTCCACCCAGCCTCTTAGCTGCAGGAGGTTCCTTCCCGTCTCTCCTTCCCTGTGAGTGTTTGGGTGGGATGTGGAGGCAGAATCCAATTGCTCAGTCTTTGTGTTGGGTTTGCCCTTGGTGCTATTCCTCTTTCTCCCCAGCACAATGACTCCTGTCTGGATTGTCTGTCTCCCAGCAGGAGCTGAGCGAGGGAGTGAAAATCAGGAGGAGAATCATCATGAGGAAGTTTCTGGGGCAGTGCAACCACAGGGGACCTATGTGGGAAGAGCTGAAGGGAATCTTTCCCAGTGCTTGGAGCAGGGAGAAGCGTTGGGAAATTGGCACAGGTCAAAGAGGCTTGTGGGAAACTACCCAAGGAAGAGAGTGGCTGAATCTATTAACGGTGGGGGAGGAGATGAGGATCCCAGAGCACAACAGACAAATCCGAATGAAGAGACACCATGGCACTGCCTGCAGTGTGGGAAAGGATTCATTGTGAGATCACAGCTTGTTACACATCAGACAATCCATACAGGAGAGAAACCCCTTCAATGCTTGGTACGTGGGGAAAGCTTCAATAAGCATTCTGATCTTAATAACCATGGGAGAAGCCACACTGGAGGTAAGCCCATTCAATGCCTTGAGTGCGGGAAATGTTTCAGTTCCAAGTCAGCATTAAATTCACATAAGAAAAGCCACAGAGGACAGAGATCCCATAAGTGCTTAGACTGTGGGAAAAGTTTCACATGGAGGTCAGTGCTTGTTAATCATCAGGCAATCCACACAGGAGAGAGACCCCATAAATGTTTGGACTGTGGGAAAAGTTTCAGATGGAGGTCAAGCCTTGTTCAACATCAGGCAATCCACACAGGAGAGAGACCCCATAAATGTTTGGACTGTGGGAAAAGTTTCAGATGGAGGTCAAGCCTTGTTCAACATCAGGCAACCCACACAGGAGAGAGACCCCATAAATGTTTGGACTGTGGGAAAAGTTTCAGATGGAGGTCAAGTCTTGTTCAACATCAGGCAATCCACACAGGAGAGAGACCCCATAAATGTTTGGACTGTGGGAAAAGTTTCAGATGGAGGTCAAGTCTTGTTCAACATCAGGCAATCCACACAGGAGAGAGACCCCATAAA